CCAGGGTACTGAAATTGGGCCTGTAGCATGCTGGGATGAAGGATTACCATGTTAGTTCAAATGAATGACCTTGATCCACTTTCAACCTAATGTCCTTGTTCGACAATCAAGGTCAGAGGCGTCATATGTTTAAATCTTTTAATAGGTTCTTATGAAATCTTAAGATTACAAGTGTTAGATTAATAACAGGTGAGCGATGCAGGCCCATTGGGCCTCTTGTTATATGGGTCTGGACTGACAGTTTGACCTATTTGGCAAAAACTGCATAAAGTTTGTTAACTACAGAATATGTTATTCTGCGTTGTCGGCTACCCATGGCTGATTTCGCTTCGCTACTTGCTCAGCAAGTGAAATCAGCGTTGGGTATCCCACGTTGATAATTATGTTACAGTAGTAAAGCACACGAAGTTCTTACCGAAATTCTACCGATTTCTTTTTATTGATATTTTGCGATTTTTGCTGACCAGACTTTGCACAAGGAGTTAATTCTGTAATAACACCGTACAGTTAATAAGTTGATATTCACTGGTAAGATCTTGTACACCACAGGACACTACAAGGCCAGGTAAAGACGACACTGGATAAGCTGAAGACAGACGGAGACACAGACGTGCAGTACTATGCTTTGGAGGCATTGGATGGTATGTATCAAATATTAAAAACCGTGTAATGATATTTCTAGATTGTTTTGAGATTGATTGCCAGCTTAATCTTTGTTCCTGTTCTTGCATGCAATCATTTATTCTAGCATTCATATAGAGCACAATAGGTGTCTGAGTTTATGTTTCTGTAATTGAATTAAGTTTTGGCCTCAAAAAATGCTTAACTAGATGTTCAGCCTGAAACGTTTTCTAAATTTATGATTCTGAATATACTTTGAGTTTCATTATTTAAAAGAAAAATCTTTTGATAGGACTTATAATTCAAAAGTTTTCAAATAGTTTCGTTGATTTGAATCTTAATCAAGATAAATAATTTGGTGCGTACAAGAAACTATGTTTTATAGAATTATTACACACGAAATTGCAGTGTTGTTGATTTCTCTTCCAAACTAGTGCTTTTTCATAGGAAGTTATAGTAGGCATTACGGGTAAGGCGTGTATATGTATCACCAGTTATGTCCCCTTATTGATGTTGCTTTTCAATATATACATGTATCAGATATTTGACTAAAAAGGATATTTCAAAGTTAAAAGTGATTTTGAAGTAATTTTCTATGGGCTTTTTTCACATTTTCTGTAACCAAAGCAAATTTGGTATGAAAAGTATTTAAATTTTTACACCACTGGTTTATGAACAAGAATCTTTTTATTTTTATTTCCATTATTTTGTTTTAAGAAATTATTGTCTGAAGTTTAAAAAAAAACAAAAAAAAACGAAATCTTAAGATTGAACAATTCTTGTAGTAGGAAAAATAATATCATTTAACAGTTCCCATTCCTATTTCAAATGTGTATGATGGGCGTAATTATATAAAACATTGTTCACTGCTCTCAAAATAACACAAGAAATATCTTTAAAAAGACAAATGGACAAGTGTTCAGAACTGATGTGTGTGCTTACAAATCTCTAACAGCCTTGTACTTATCAGGATATTGTTACAAATCTCTAACAGCCTTGTACTTATCAGGATATTGTTACAAATCTCTAACAGCCTTGTACTTATCAGGATATTGTTACAAATCTCTAACAGCCTTGTACTTATCAGGATATTGTTACAAATCTCTAACAGCCTTGTACTTATCAGGATATTGTTACAAATCTCTAACAGCCTTGTACTTATCAGGATATTGTTACAAATCTCTAACAGCCTTGTACTTATCAGGATATTGTTGTGACATGTAATTTAACTTTACAACAAAGCTAACTATTCAAAGGGAAGCATTTCAAGTTAGTTTCCATGTCATCACACCGGTGTATAGAACACTATCTCAATCAAACATGGAGTGAAATGACATGTAAATACATGAAACCATTGTTATTTGTTTGGCAGCTGGATATAAAATATTCCCTAGGAGAGATACAATGCATAGGGTACCTATTTTCCTTAGGAGAGATACAATGCGTAGGGTACATATTTTCCTTAGGAGAGATACAATGTGTACAGTACATATTTTCCTTAGGAGAGAAACAATGCATTGGGTACATATTTTCCATAGGAGAGATACAATGTGTACGGTACATATTTTCCTTAGGAGAGATACAATGCGTAGGGTACATATTTTCCATAGGAGAGATACAATGTGTACGGTACATATTTTCCTTAGGAGAGATACAATGCGTAGGGTACATATTTTCCTTAGGAGAGATACAATGTGTACGGTACATATTTTCCTTAGGAGAGATACAATGCATTGGGTACATATTTTCCATAGGAGAGATACAACGGTAGGGTACATATTTTCCTTAGGAGAGATACAATGCATTGGGTATATATTTTCCATAGGAGAGAAACAATGCGTAGGGTACATTTTTTCCTTAGGAGAGATACAATGTGTAGGGTACATATTTTCCATAGGAGAGAAATAATGCGTAGGGTACATATTTTCCATAGGAGAGAAACTGCTTAGGGTACATATTTTCCATAGGAGAGATACAATGCATATTTTCCTTAGGAGAGATACAATGCATTGGGTACTAATTTTCCATAGGAGAGATACAATGCATATTTTCCTTAGGAGAGATACAATGCATTGGGTACTAATTTTCCATAGGAGAGATACAATGGTACATATTTTCCATAGGAGAGATACAATGGTACATATTTTCCATAGGAGAGAAACTGATTAGGGTACATATTTTCCATAGGAGAGATACAATGCGTAGGGGACATATTTTCCATAGGAGAGAAACAATGCGTTGGGTACATATTTTCCATAGGAGAGATACAACGGTAGGGTACATAATTTCCTTAGGAGAGATACAATGCATTGGGTACTAATTTTCCATAGGAGAGATACAATGTGTACGGTACATATTTTCCTTAGGAGAGATACAATATGTAGGGTACATATTTCACAAAGATAACCTGAATATAACCGCCTCTCTACACACAGAAGTATTGTAACAAACATAACCTGTATATAACAGATTCTCTACACACACAAGTATTGTCACAAACATAACCTGTATGTAACAGCCTCTCTACACACAGAAGAATTGTCACAAACATACCCTGTATATAACCGCCTCTCTACACTCAGAAGTATTGTCACAAACATAACCTGTGTATAACCGCCTCTCTACACACAGAACGATTGTCACAAACATAACCTGTATATAACCGATTCTCTACACACAGAAGTATTGTGACAAACATAACCTGTATATAACCGATTCTCTACACACAGAAGTATTGTGACAAACATAACCTGTATATAACAGATTCTCTACACACAGAAGTATTGACACAAACATAACCTGTATATAACAGCCTCTCTACACACAGAAGTATTGTAACAAACATAACCTGTATATAACAGCCTCTCTACACACAGAAGAATTGTCACAAACATACCCTGTATATAACCGCCTCTCTACACTCAGAAGTATTGTCACAAACATAACCTGTGTATAACCGCCTCTCTACACACAGAAGTATTGTAACAAACATAACCTGTATATAACAGATTCTCTACACACAGAAGTATCGTCACAAACATAATCTGTATATAACAGATTCTCTACACACAGAAGTATTGTCACAAACATAACCTGTGTATAACCGCCTCTCTACACACAGAAGTATTGACACAAACATAACCTGTATATAACAGATTCTCTACCAAGGCATTGGGTACATATTTTCCATAGGAGAGATACAACGGTAGGGTACATAATTTCCTTAGGAGAGATACAATGCGTAGGGGACATATTTTCCATAGGAGAGATACAATGCATTGGGTACTAATTTTCCATAGGAGAGATACAATGCATTGGGTACTAATTTTCCATAGGAGAGATACAATGCATAGGGTACATATTTTCCTTAGGACAGATACAATGCATAGGGTACATATTTACCTTAGGAGAGATACAATGCATTGGGTACTAATTTTCCATAGGAGAGATACAATGGTACATATTTTCCATAGGAGAGATACAACGGTAGGGTACATAATTTCCTTAGGAGAGATACAATGCATTGGGTACTAATTTTCCATAGGAGAGATACAATGCATTGGGTACTAATTTTCCATAGGAGAGATACAATGGTACATATTTTCCATAGGAGAGATACAACGGTAGGGTACATAATTTCCTTAGGAGAGATACAATGCATTGGGTACTAATTTTCCATAGGAGAGATACAATGCGTAGGGGACATATTTTCCATAGGAGAGATACAACGGCAGGGTACATATTTTCCTTAGGATAGATACAATGCATTGGGTATATATTTTCCATAGGAGAGAAACAATGCGTAGGGTACATTTTTTCCTTAGGAGAGATACAATGCATTGGGTACTAATTTTCCATAGGAGAGATACAATGGTACATATTTTCCATAGGAGAGATACAATGGTACATATTTTCCATAGGAGAGATACAATGGTACATATTTTCCATAGGAGAGATACAATGCATTGGGTACTAATTTTCCATAGGAGAGATACAATGCGTAGGGGACATATTTTCCATAGGAGAGATACAATGGTACATATTTTCCATAGGAGAGATACAACGGTAGGGTACATATTTTCCTTAGGACAGATACAATGCATAGGGTACATATTTTCCATAGGAGAGAAACTGCTTAGGGTACATATTTTCCATAGTAGAGAAACAATGCGTAGGGTACATTTTTTCCTTAGGAGAGAAACAATGTGTAGGGGACATATTTTCCTTAGGAGAGAAACAATGTGTAGGGGACATATTTTCCTTAGGAGAGATACAATATGTAGGGTACATATTTCACAAAGATAACCTGAATATAACCGCCTCTCTACACACAGAAGTATCGTCACAAACATAATCTGTATATAACAGATTCTCTACACACAGAAGTATTGTGACAAACATAACCTGTATATAACCGATTCTCTACACACAGAAGTATTGTGACAAACATAACCTGTATATAACCGATTCTCTACACACAGAAGTATTGTGACAAACATAACCTGTATATAACCGATTCTCTACACACAGAAGTATTGTCACAAACATAACCTGTATATAACAAACACCCGTGTCCAGTTACATGTTTGTGAATCCTTTAACATGTTTGTGCACTTCATTGGTGTGTCAACTTTCGTCACAGGTTTTGATATAATGCTGGAAAATAACATTTATTAGTGTTAATGATTACATGTAATAAGAAATGTAGTACAAATGTCACTCAAAGTCCCATTAGTCCTGGCCTCCTTCAAGGCTGAAAGTCATCGGTTGTTTCAAGTAACGTCCTCTTGCCTCTTCAGAGGTAGAGGAAACACTCAAATGTAACTTAAAACTAAGAAATTATGTCTCAAACTCTAAATTAATGTGATTATTTCAAACTTCTGTTAAAACTGTGATTAAATGTATGTAACATGTGACATTTTTATCAGTTCTGACTAATGAATATGACAATGATCAACCTTCTGGTGAAAGCTTTAATGTTCAGACTCCAAAGTTCTGGGCCAGCTCCTTAATAACTTGTATCTGTATATTTATGTGATTCTGACCATTGACCACTTTAGGGACTATCTCTTTCATTTAGAATTTCTACCTGTACTTTAGTAGAGTAAATTTGAACCTGTATTATTAGCATTAGCTACTAGCTTTCCATTCAACACAGTACTTTTAGAAATCTGTTGGAATTCAATGGATGTGTACTCCAATCACCTCCAATTGCCAAGTTTTGTATGTGAGTATGTCCAGGGATGATGAGGGTTTGGCGTAATGAACACGAATCTGTGCCCCACAATGTACAGAGTAATGACTCTTTAATCAGTTCTGATAGCAAAAGTTGCCTGGAAGTGGATTGTTTCAGATATTTTGTCTTTGTTAAAACTCAATTTTTTGACACCATGTGTTACTCTGGGGACCACAGAGCTGGTTGTATTGTCTCCATGTACTATCAGTGATATAGAAACTTAATTTATTTTACAACATTTATGAAATAAGTTATTTCACCTGATATAAATCACAGTGATGTAATCACGCAGGGGTCTTAATGTGCGAGGAAACTGGTACCCGGAGAAAACCCACATGTATGGTTGGGCAGGTTACCCCATAGCTTTTCACGTCCGATCAGGGAATCGAACCCTGGTCGCCTTGGTGAAAGGCAAGTGCGCTACCACTACACCACCCAATCACTATGTCCAGTCCTTTCGTGGCCAGTCAGTGTCAGTGGTAATGGTCAAATCACCTGTTGACCTGTCTTCTGTCTTCATATGTATAGGATGCAATGAAGAATCTTTCTCTGGGTAGATTGTCAAGTCTGAAGGGGTCCCTCTTCTCATTCCTTCTCATCATTATATCCCTTATTTTCCTTGTGTTGAACAATGCTTTACAAGGACAGTGAATTAAAACTATATATTTTAAGTAAGAAATTGATGTTTTAAACTTGAGGTAAAATTTTAACTGAGATTTATTACCAGAGTAATTCGAAGAGACAACAGAAACATATGGTGACTTTTAATGTCAGTGCAGATTACTGTACAATTTAACAACTTAATAATGATATGAATTTGAAAAGTCTTAAATGACCTTGCTTAAAGTTTATTGACTGTCTTTTTTTTTATGTGAAACCCATTTAGGTACATATATCAGAGTTAGCGTTCTGATATTTAGAATATCAGCGTTCCTTGTCCGCGATGCTCTCAGCTTAATTGCTGCCTTCAACTGTCTTAGGCCGAGGGGACTATTGGTTTTATATAAAAGCTATATTTTCAATTATAGTATATCAGTTCTATCTTCTTGTCATATATGATGTATATGTACAAAATTTGACAACCTTAGCTTGTCCACTGTTGGAATTACTTCTTTGACCAATATACTACAGTATTTCAAGTAATTTGTATCCTACGGACATACCTCCATTAGGATCCAGTGTTATATGGGATTTTACCGTCTATATTAATTCTTTGACCCATATCAGAATAAGGTATCATACATCTTTAACAGAAATTCCATCACCGCTCACATAGCATGTTGTAGATGACCACTATTTCTCTTCCCAAGTTTTCTCTGTAATTGTTTTTAGTGTAGAAGACTCCACTGAAGATGTGGAGCCTCTAGTGTTAACCCCTCCATGTATACGTCCCCTTCAGTATTGATCCCGTTTGATCCCGTTTGATGTGATATCGTCCTAATCCTCCTATGTGTGGAGAGATTTAGATTTCAGAATTTGAGATAATTGGTTATGATGTTCGTTTAGAAATTTAAAATGTTAAAGCCGATAGTTTTTGAAACTTGTCTTTCAAAATGGTTATCAGTTATCGTTTCTTTATTTTTTTCAATATTTTACTAGATCTATATTTTTTTCAATATTTTACTACATCTATCATTAAAGCTGCATGTATGTTGATATTAAATATTTGTTTTTTTAGTTTTTAACAAATTTTGTTACAAAAGTTTTAAAACTATTTTCTTTATGTTAAATTTATAATCTACATGTTGCTATTGATTTACTGTTGTATGATATCATCCTATTTCTGTTTACAGGTTTGAAGTTGAGCTAGGAAACAAATCGAGAGTTTAGGTAAGTTGTGACATGTTGGTTTTTGTGTGTGACTGTTAGGAGCTTCCTCATCCTCATCTCTGACTTAAGTTGTGACATGCTGGTTTTTGTGTGTGACTGTTAGGAGCATCCTCATCTCTGACTTAAGTAGCATTCAGACAAACACATCAGCAACCTGATCATAGACACAAAAGTTACTTGCTGTAAGCATTTATTGCATGTATAAGTAAAAATGATATCAACAATACTGTTAAGCCAAATAAATATTATTATTTGGTTCTCAGGCCAATTTTTTTCAAAAGAGATGAGGCAGGGAGGTAATTTTTTTCCCCTTTTTACATGGCAAAAATGAGACGGGAGATTTTTTTTATTGTGTAGTTTGTAAAGCGTTCATTGTGGGCATTACCTTGTCAAATGTGTCTGTTTTTTGTCGCCCAACACACACAGATACTTTAGCAGAACAGAGTTTATCTGGGGAAGACCATGTTCCCAGATCGATGTTACCTGTTTTTATAGTTGTGTAGAGATCCGTCATGGAGCAAGCCTCCGAAAATCCCCCCACGAAGTTCCAGAGAAGAATCACGGACCCCCTATACCTTATTTGTACCGAAATGAGCGCCATTTGTATACGAGGTTAATAAGTCATAATTGTTTCAATGCTTGCCTGGATATCAAGTTCCTTATCTTTATTCAAACGTTTTCGGGACTTGGGCGACTTTCGAGTAATAACGACATGCGGACCAATTTTTCGGATATTTTTTAAGACGGCTGCCGGCGCATTCACAATTCTTTTTTTTTTTTACTTTCACGATTAAATCGGCAATGCGGTGCCCTAAAATGAAATGCGCGCGGGCCTGGGAACCAAGTATTTTTTTTTTTGCCTTAGTGATGCTTGACTGGATAATTTTAACATCTGAAAGTAAGCAATTTGGTACTTTGAAAAATTATAGCAGTCACCAAAAAGCTGTGATCTGTTATAAGGTGGCCTTCAGAAAAAAATGTGGAAAGTAATTAGCACCAATTCAGTTCTGGAAACCTGGAGTTGTTTCTCATTTATTTATTAAGTTCAAAAACCTGTTCTTTATATTTATTCAGTTAGATTTTTACTGGAAATTGTAATATTATTGTACAGAATTGTAAAGTTAGGCCATTGTCTGATTTCTTTTGTTTTTCTTTGTAGGTAAATCTTTCAACAAGTCAACATGTGCTGTTTATCAATGTTTTATGTTGTGAATTCTTGGGCGTGAATCTTACCGACATCGTGTTGTATCCATCGATCGTCATCAGTTTCATCTGCGCGGCGGACAAACAGACAGACACTGCACAATAAACTTGAGAGAACAAGGACAGACATCAAATATGTTTCACATTATAATTTGAGAAGAATTGCTTATTACTGCAATGGTCTTAATTTTCAGTAGATCCAATTATTAAATTTTCGTCATTCATTTATGCAAAAAAAATGTGATTTATAAAACACATGGACCACAGGAAGACTTGTGTCACTGTGGTACGAAGAGTTAAAACTCCAAGTCATCAGGATGTTTGGATGACCTTGACACCATCAACCACTGACCAGGTGACCTTTATGTAAACAATGGCATAATGGATTATTAGGATTACTACCTTATAAACTCTAACCCACTCTTCTATAGTACAGTTCACTCCGTCTAAACTGGGCTCCCTGGGACAGTAGAAAATGTCATTTTGGATGCTCCCTGGGACAGTGTAAAATGGTTAGTTTGCACAGAATTTTAGATTGTACATCATCAGAACCAATTTATTTGGCAGGTTTAGACAAAAATCCAGATTGGACAGAGTTCGGTTTGGAGCGAGTTTACTGCGAGATATTATTAACTACTACATTACATAGCAGTTTTTTGTGAATGTGTTTAGTAAACCTGTAGTGACAGAGTAACGGTGTTTGTTTACGTATTCCTGGAAAATTCATTATTAATCTAGAGCAGTTCCAGTGGTCATTTGTACAAAAGACTAAGATTAATTTTAAATTGATGTATTGAGCTCACTGTTCTGGGACGTATTGGTATACTAGTTGTGTGAAGGCATTTCCTCACAGGCGACATCTCTAACAACACTTAGGTAGCTGGTCATTCTTTATAAAGAGGAAAAACACTTTTTGTAAAATATATGAAGGTAGCACAAGTTTCCTGCTTTTCCTTTCTCCAATCTCCATCACAGTAATATTGAGCAGCAGCATCAGTCTCACCATCTTTACTCGGCGAGACTTTCTGTAGATACCCACACTTTACTCGGCGAGACTTTCTGTAGATACCCACGCTACTTACTTTCTATCAATATGAAATTCCGATAATGGAAATATTTGGATAGGTCAATTTTTGTGAGATATGAAAAATAAAGACATCCTTGGTGAATTTTTATCAAATGTCATTAGATTAAATAGCTTTAAAAGTTCATTGATTCAGCAGTGTTAAATAGAAATATTTTTCAAACTTGTCAGTTTTGACAGTACTTTCTTGAAATAACTAAATTGAAAATATATATATTCTGGCAATTTGAATCATATGAATAGTTTTATGTATCAAGCATAAATTTAGATGTTGAAATTCATTAATAACTGCATGTGTTTTATACATCTCAATTAAAGTGCTATTTAAAATATAATTGAGGTTGAGCAGACGTGTAAAACAACAAAAAATATATATTGTGTGTTAGTGTCACATGGTACAAATTTGGTTAGCAGCTGTGATTGTGATGTATGTAGCTTCACCTTCCATAAATATCAGGGTATGTCTCTTCTGGGTCATGTCTAGGTAAAGATAACCTCTAATGGGTCATACCCATATAAGGATATAACCAATAATGGGCCATACCCATATAAGGATATAACCACTGATGGGTCATACTCATATATGGATATAACCACTGATGGATTATGTCCCTATACGTCAGTATAATCATGACTAGGTCATGTCCATAAAGGGCATGGTCATTAATGAGTCATGTCCAGTTAAGGCAAAGCAAATTATAGTCAATGTCCATATATGGAAAATATATGATTTTGTGTCCATAATAAATTCAAGCACACAGGTAAAATGTGTTCAAATTGTTCAGTAGGGAATAACAATATTGTACTCGGAGAGAAGAATGTTTTCAATCCACTTCAATCATTTCAGATTGGTAATTAGGATGTGTAGTCAAATACTGCAGCAGAATTGGATACGTTGACATGAAACTGAGATTAATTTTAAGCATAAATGGTATGCTGCTTTTATACTTCTAGTAGATAGTGAAAAAGGATTTTACTTCAGAAAACACTGGTCATAAAGGCATTATGGACATTATATTTAATTAAAGTTAACTAAGTATGTACTGTGTGTTTGTTATTTTGTTCCTTTGGAGCTGTGGCATTTTCTATGCAAGTTCAAAAGTGACGGAGATTTTAACGACACTTGTTAATAATTGGATATAAAAACAATGAAAATTACCACGAAATTGAATAAGTATCTTATTACATGTGCTTGTTATCCAGGCATTTAGCTATGAACAATGGGACATATAAATTGACCATACTTAAATACTTGGTTGGTTATAATATTTTGAAACTACTTTATTTAGTGAAATTACTTCATTGACTGCAACTTCTTAATCCAACGATGATAATAAAGACAAACCACTCGATCAAATGAAACTTTTTATCCAATTATTATACTTGGTACAATTGTATTATATTTAAGAAATTAACCTTTGAAGCAGTTGATACCGAATTAGTTTCAAGACCAGCTCAATTCATCTACTTGTGAAATTGACCAAAGCAAGATTCAATCCTTCTATTAAACATAGATCTTAAAAATATAGTGTGTCATTTGAGGACTTGTACAGCGATGTAGTAAAAAGTGATATTTCATCATGACAATAGTATACAATAAAATGTAAAAACAGATTATAAATTGTCATATTTATCAATTTGTTTTTTAATAATTAATCTAAAAACTGAAAACATATTCATATGCACATGCCGTGTTAATCAGGTCAATTTCATATGCAAATGAAGCAGACAAGATTTGGTAGAACTTTTCATTGAGTGATTAGTGTCCACATAATCTACAGTGTTAAATCACCTGGACCATGTTCGTTATATTACATTCGGGTTGATGAAGAATTTCATAATTTGTTACCTTGGACAAACAACATCTACTTCCCAAATTGAGGAGATAATGGTATTTGCATCAAAAGAATGAGATCAACATATTCTTGGTCTTTGTAAAAAAAAAAAGTTTAATAATAAATTAGTACAGAGTGATTTTGTTCATTGTTAAGAATATATATGGGACTTTACACATTACAATGCTTGAGGTATTAACCAGGCAGCCTTCCCCACAATGACATAGTTACTGGCAGAAACACAGATACACGTGGGTTCCTCTTCGGTGCTGAATCTGTGTGTTAGTTGTCTTGGTGCTGAATCTGTGTGTTAGTTGTCCCGATACCAGCTCTGTAAAGTTGTTTTCTTTATCACAGACCCACAGTGTGTATGTTGTTGATGACAGACATATGTCATTGATGGCAGCTTTGTGTTTGACCTGCAGTGTTATCTCCCCCTTCCTGTCCAGGAGAGATAATGTGTTACTCTCAGTAGAAACTTGAGCTAAGGTGTCAATTTTCCCGAAGGCCAGTTCTAGGTGATGTTGAGGGGTTTTGTTTGGAGTGAACTGGCAGTACCCAGAACAGAGTTTACAGGGAGACTTATTTGGGAATGAATTTCACATCCTGTGTCATAGAATTCTATGTGGGAACCTTGCTGGAGCGCTGCTTTGCATTCTTATATTTGTTGTCCGAGTTGCTTATCGTACATTTCAAGGTTCTGTTTGTATTTCTTTATCAGCTTGGTATTATCCTCCTCCATTTTGTGATAAAGAGAGAGCTTCTGTGCTGTAAGCAGGTCAAGATCTTGCTTCAATTTTTCTGTTTGCATTTTCAACTTGTGTGAAAGTTTCTCAAAATTGCTGGTGTTGTCGACTTTAAGTAGTGTATCGGTAGAAGTGATGTATTTCCTAAGTTGTACCAGGTCATTTTGTTCAGCTCTGTCAATAACGATGTCTTGTTGCTTTTGAGGAGTGATACCGCTGAGTTCACGAACATCGTGACTTTTGTGAGTTGATAAATGACATCTCTTACAGGCAAGTGTATCACAGTTTTCACAGTAAAGTTCCAGTTGTCTCCCCTTGTGTTCAATACAGGTCGTCTGGCCTTTCTTGTGGAGATCGATTTGATCTATGGGTGTTGCCATGTTGATGAAAAAGTTGAGGTAGTGACAAGGAAATATATTAATAAACCCAGACACTTGTCTGTTATAACTGATATGGAATAACAGTCGCAAAATACACTTGTTGGATGTCACTAAATCTTGACTTTACACCTAGACCAATCCAGGCACGTGTTCATAAAACGCATTTGTAAATCTTCACACTTAGCATATATATATAGCTACCTGCTAATCAATTATCAGTGATGTGGGTTACTAGGTAGTCAACGTCAAGAAAATATCCCCAGTGTTCAATTCCTTTGTCTTATTGCGTTAAGTACGCTCCACGGCCACCATTTGTAGATCTACTTGTGCAGGGCCGCTTGGGCAAACGTTAACTATTCAGAAAATATTACTTCCTGTTCTGCAAGGTTGCCGACGGGCGTACGTAGGTCAATGTAGGTCGTATTTACAGAGCGTGGTGTTTTAACCTCAGGTGTGTAGTAGTGTAGTGTCTGACAAGACAAACATGCACTTCAGATATCTACACTTACTTCATTGATAAAACTATGGTGGTTATTTTTCAATGACGCTTTAACTTATTCACCCCTGAAGACACATTTGAACTCGGCCAATTATATGGTTGGCATAGTTCATTATGAAATTTCAGGGGTGAATGAGTGGATTTGTTGTAAAATGCTTATACTTATGATTGATAAAACAGTAGGATTCAAGGTGGACAATACATATATGTGTATTTCTCAAATTGATATATCGGCAAAAAGTCATTCGTTTCTATACTCTTTTTTTTTCTTTTTCTCCAACATTCGTTTCTATACTCTTTTTTTTTCTTTTTCTCCAACATCTTTATTTGTTTTTTTGCATGTTTTTTTCTTTTATATACAAAAGACAGCGCAAAACACACTTGCATACACCCTTGCTCTCGAACTATGGACATTTAAGGATAATTTTCGACTTCCCATCCAAGTAATACCTGTATATTTGTATATTTGTGACCGTAAACTTGCGGTCTAGAGTTGGAATGAGTGAATTAGGTACAAGTTATAGGTGCATATATGGATAAATACACAATACTTGGTAAATAAGCTGCTATGGTATCATTAATTTAGAAAAGAGTCCATTTTTGGATAAAGGTATTTTGTTTCCCTTTACACGTTGCGATATATTATTTCCACTTTATAATTATACACTATATCAGGAGTCAGTTAGAATACTGGTCTCCTTACCAAACATCTTTAATTCACCAGGTCGAAGTTGTCCAGCGTAAATTTTTGATTTTTTTTTATGTTTTAAGGCACACGTTGACTACAATTCCATGTCTTACGCTGACACTTGTAGGCATTTTAATCTTCATAGCCTCGAACATAGGCGGGCATTTTTAGACTGTGTCTTTCTTTACGAATGTGTTAATAGTGCTTTTGATTGTCCATATTTAGTCAAGCAAACGTGTTTTTAGTCCCTGGTTGTAATCTACGATCAATTCGTTTCAACCAGTTATACTGCCAGGGAAGTAGAATAAACGTTAGAAAGTATAGTATTTTAAACAGGATTCAATGTAATTTTAACTCTCTTGATTTTGCACCAGACTGCGATATGTTTCGTTCCTCTCTCGCCGAGTTCAAAGTACAGTTAAAGAATATTTGCTATCACTTATTCCTTTTGTTTTACATATGAGTATCTTTTAGTCTGTCTTACATGCATAACTGACTGTGGTATTTTATATTTGTGTTGAAATGTTGTTATCCATTCTGTAAGTGGACTCTTGGGTCTGTTGCTTTGGAAATAAATAAATAAATAAATAAATAAATAAATAAACTCCTAGCACATTAGACCCTTTGTCAATATATTTATAAGTGCATTTAATATTGGAAATAAAAATATCATGCATGTCTCTGCTTCCTTTTTGCTTTTATTAGCTCACCGGGTCCGAAGGACCAAGGTGAGCTTATGCCATACCGTGGCGTCCTTCGTCCGTCCGTCAACAATTTCTTTAAACGACTTCTTCTTTTAACCAGTGATTGGAATTTAACTGGATTTGACTGGAAGCATTCCTAGGTGGTGGGGATTCAAAATTGTACAAATGGTGGGGGCTGACCCCCCAGGGGGCTTAGTGCTGGGCCAAAAGGGGGCAATTTGGCTATATTGCTATAAACGACTTCTTCCGTAGAACTATAACATGTATGGCGATCATGTTTGGTCGGAAGCATTCATGGGAGGCAGGGATTCAAAATTGTAAAAATGGTGGGGCTGACCCCCATGGCGGGTGAGGGACGGGGCCAAAAAGGGTTATTTAGCTATATTACTTTAAGCAACTTCTTCTCTGGAACTAAGAGATAGATATCAACCATATTTGACTGGAAGCCTCCCTAGGTGGTGGGGATTCAAAATTGTACAAATGGTGGGGGCTGACTCCCCAGGGGGCTTAGTGCTGGGCCAAAAGGGGGCAATTTGGCTATATTGCTATAAACGACTTCTTCCGTAGAACTATACCATGTATAGCGATCATATTTGGTCGGAAGCATTCATGGGAGGCAGGGATTCAAAATTGTACAAATGGTGGGGCTGACCCCCCGGGCTTAGGGGTGGGGCCAAAAAAAATATTACTTTGAAATTGTTGAGATCCCCACCAGATAACCATATATACAATTGCTGAGTATAAAGAGAGGAATGCACATTGACTTCCACCCTTGTAGACTTAACTCCTGGGTCATAACTTTGAAACGGTTGAGATCCCCAACCCAAAACTATATATACAAATGCTGGGCAAAAAGAGACAAATGCAGTCATAATATTAGAATTGATCCTGGGGTCTGGCCACAACCCTAGGGACCTAGTTTCTGAGTCACAGCTTGGAAACAGTTGAGATCCCCACCCCATTACCATACATAAAATTGCTGGGCATAAAAAATCAAATACAGATATGCTACAAGGATTGGCCTTGGGGTCTGGCATATTCCCTTGGATCTCATTTGCGAGAATATTTTGCCATGATTGCTTAAATATTCAGGTGAGCGATACAGGTCCTCTGGGCCTCTTGTTTATTAATTCTATGGTGATTGGAATAAATGGTTGTTGCAAATCAGCCGAGGGATTGTTTAAAGTACATGTCAGCCATAAAGGCATAAGTGAGCTTCTCAAAGTCGTAGAACACTGCATGAGGTGGGCGTAAGTCATAGACTCGACAAAAATCTTCATAATAATAAAGACGGTATGAACCATATCGGATAAAAAATTGGCTTTAAAATCTAATTTTGGAATATCTTCAAGTTTTCAGCTAAATAGGATGCCCAGTACCGTGAACGGTTTTAGGTCACCTGAGCTTTACATTTTCAACGTCTTCTCAAGAACCAGTGGATGGATTTTTTTCAAACTTGGTCAGAATCATCCTTGGTAGATGAGGCTACAACCCCTGGGGCCAGGGCGGAGCCCCAAAGGGAAAATTAACCAATATTTCAAAAATCTTCTCCTCCAGACTCAGAGGTACTACAGTCGTTTTCTTTGCATGGATGGAAAGATCACCAGGGGCTTTATTTAAATTGTAAATTTCAGGACCCCAGAGCTATCCGTTCTCCCTTGGGGAGGGGGTAAAGCTTACTATAGTTTATATAGGGAAACAACACGTTTGGGTATATTTTGACAATAATCTGTAGGAAATTATTCTTTCTTGGTGAGAATTATCCTTGGAGGAAGATGGTTTTAAAATGTAAAATCGGGATTCCTACCCAAACCCTAGGAGGCCAGGGCGGGCCCCACAGGGAAAATTTACCAATATTTCAAAAATCTTCTTTTCCAGACGGACGGTTTAATTTAAAATCTACCTAACATATCCACAGTTATTCAAATAAAGTTTCCTCGGAATTGATTATATTTCATACTAAACATTTTTACACAGATTACAGAAGTATACGAAATTAGTCAATCATGTATCTAAATAGTTCTAGAATATTTCTGTAATCCTAAAACGAAGGAATGGGTTAAATGGTCATTAAATTTATTCATCGAAATTCTTTTGTTTTGAATAGTTACTTCCTTACATCCTTCTTTTTGATTTGATACAATTTGATGTTTTTTCTCCTAGCTAATTAAAATCCTTGTGAACACCATACCGAAAATTCTCGTAAACGAAAAGTACTTTAATCACTTTACACTCGTACAATGATCTTTCGGAAGTTATAATCAGTAGGCGTTAGGTAGTTTTAACACACACGCGAATAGAATATAAATCACATTGAAAAAAAAAAAGAAAAAAAAATGAAAAAAATAAATAAACAAATCACATTGGAAAAATTGGCATAAAAGTAAGTAAACAATTCCTGGGATTTGTTTACAGTGAAAGACAAACGTTTAGGCTGTCTATGATATGTAGGCTAATCAGCGGCACGCAGCGACTGATACCGGGACATTTGTGGCGAAGTTTCGCCTGTTTTAGCTCTCCGTAATAATTGTGGTTATATCATGATAGTTAATATTATTACACAACTTACCACTTTTAGTAACAAGTATGAAGAGCGAAATTGTCACTGGGCGAGTATGGATCTTCGCAGTGAAGGGCGAAAGTTTGACAAGGCGAAAGTTTGATAAGGCAAAGGTTTCCCGTTATACAGTAGTGATAAAAAAGTCAGGTGTATTTTCCTTCATACCAACATTTCCCTATACTTTGATTTCGAAAACTTAAACTCACCATATGGAACAAAATAAATAATAGTAGTAAAGTTATGCACACATTTCAATTAAAAGATACAGTGGCAATTAAATGAGAATTAACATCTTCCTTTCTTTCGAATTCTATAATCTAAAGGATGAGTGCTACCTGCAACGTACAAACATAATATAATGATTAGTTATCTCCTCCCCAAGGGCAAGTTTTATATGGAAAACAGATAAGCCAGGTCTCTGCGTAATAACTTGAATAAATCATCTGTCCTTAATGACTGATCACAAAAACAAGCACAACGATAGTCTCTCAAATAGATCCAGACACACAAAAGTCACTTAAGATTTTCGGGCCCCCTAAGTCCAGGCTCTTCCTCCATGGTGCAATGACGAAATCATCGTGGTTGTTCCAATTTCTTTACTCCTTATTATGAGATTGAAGACGGGCAAGAGCTCGTGGTACACGAGCCACCACAGGCTCAACAAGTTTGGGAGTTTGATGGTCTGTCATATCAAAGTTCAATCGATGTGGCGTTGACAGAGACTCCTGTGTAGGGGTGGTAGCTTGTGGCCTGATCCTGTTAGATGGTGTCTGTCACACATGTGGTGATGGCGAGGGAAGTGGAGCCTGTAGGGCCTGTGGTGACAACGGTATTGTAGGTTGGTCCAGCTGTGGCACTATGGCTGGAGCAGAGACTTTGTCGCCGGAAAACGCTTCCGGAGGCGGCCGTTCATCTGACGTAGGCGGTGATACTGCAGTCCAAGAGGTAGTGCCATGAAAGAGAGAGAACTTACGAAGGTGCTGGCGATTTCGGAGAGTCACTCTGCCAGTGCCATCCACACGGATGACATACTGGTGAAACTGACGCACTTCCACAACAATCCCTGTACGTTTCCATCTCCGAGGATAGTTTCCAACCAGATTTTGTATGTAGACGTGATCTCCAACCTGAAGTGGTGGTAACCGGTGAGTGTGTTCATTCCACCGTTCATGTTCCCTGGCATGACGTCTGGCGAGTGCTTTCTCACGATGGGACATCAGCTCTGTCCATGTTTCATGAGGTGAGTATCTACCCATCGGTATTGGGATGGCATCACGGATGGGTCGACCAAACAAAACTAACGCTGGTGATGCCTTTGTCTCCGGGTCAATGGAATTTCTGTACATCAGTAGGGCCCTTACAGTCTTCAATGCCATCTCAGCCCTGCAATTAGCATGTGAATTTGTGACCGATAAAATCCTATGCCGAACACCCCAGACTTTGGGGAATTCCTGTATTTTCCCTGCTGTAAACTGCGGGCCCCCATCTGATGTCAACTCCTCAGGAATGCCAAATGTCACAAAAGTCTCTCGCAGTCGTTTGACAAGACCATCTGCTCCGGAATCTGATCTGTGCACTATAGGCCAGTTGGAATATCTATCCACGATCACCACATAGTCCTTGCCATTGTAAGTGAAGTAGTCACTGCAGATCATCTGAAATGGGTAATCTGGTGGTGTTATGTCTGATTGGGGCTGCATCGGGTTGGACTTAGCCATCTGGTGGCAATATGAACATTGGTCCCTTACTCTTGCAATGTCAACTGTGATGTCAGGCCAATACACTGAGTCTATGGCACGTGCACGCATAGCACTGACACCTTGGTGGGCTGCATGTAGTGCATTAAGTACATGCTTTCGAAGTGCAGGTGGGATAACCACGCGTTGACCCATAAGTAACACACCATCTACCACACACAGACTGACTGCAAAGCGATGATAGGGACGCAAATCAGTAGATAGCTCTCTGCAATGTCCAGGAAATCCATCCTCTAGGTGGTGAATGATGTTGACGAATGTGCTGGCTGATGCAGAAGCTTCTCGAACCATGTCCCATGTAACAACGGTGACAACAGAATTCAACGCAGTGGTCGATGCTGCAACAGTGAGTGTGTCATCAGCCATGTCCTCGTTCTCACTATGCTAGCAAAGGCTATTCAGGGTGTCATGCAATAGGATAGATGTGTTGTCATCCATATCAAGGTCCAAAGTTTCGCCAGGCAATTGTAGGTGCTCGGGCGGGGAGGCAGGGTGTCTAGAAGTAGCATCCAGACCTTGGTTCTTCTTTCCAGGAACATGTACAACTGTGAACCTGTACCCAAGAGTTTTTTCCTTGAGGTTAAGAAGTCGTCTGTTACTAATATCTGTAAGTGACCTATTGTACAGGATCTGAAGTAGTGGCTTATGATCCGTGGCTATGGGTAGATCTTTGCATCCTAACACTTAATAGCGAGTCTGGTGGAGTGCATACACAAAAGCCAAGGCTTTGCCTTCAATGGGAGCATAGCGGCTTTCAGCAGGATGTGTAAACCTGCTGCCAACTAAACACAGCTTCCAACCATCAGGGCAGCAGGCAGGAGTCTTATCAGTACACTGGCAGTACTTCTGCATCAAGAAGAACCCTATTCCATCAACGGACCAGTCAGTAGCCAAACAAGTCGGTCGGTTAGGGTCAAACAGGCGCACCCCTTCCTTTATCTCCAGTATGATGACCTCCTTGGACTGATTGAATAGCTTGTCCAGCTCATCTGTCCAGAAAAACTTTGTAGACGGTTTTAGCAGAGTCCGAAAAGATTTCATCTGTCCTGTCCTGGCAAAGGCGTACGTACCCTGGTTAATAAGCACAATCCATGCCCTGGCACCAGTGATATCAGTTGGTGTGGGGAAATTTCTGATAGCATCTAGGAACTTAACACTAGGTCGAATGTTTGTTGGAGTGATTGTCAGTCCTGCAAAGTCAACGGTGTCCTGGGCAAACTGAAACATCTTTGGGTTTAGTGTGATGCCATTACGAGCACACATGTCAAACAATTCACATGCTTGAAAGAATGCCGCTTCAATGGACCCTGTCCACATGCAAGTATCATCCACGCACTTGACCTTGTTCCGGAAATTGGAAATTATGGCATCAAAGCGCTGGTTGCTTGGGGAGCCACTTTGTACCTATATCGCCTCCATGGCGTGATGAAGGTCGTGATATGTCGATCGTCTTCTTGGATGGGCACAGAGTGGTAACCATTCCAGGCGTCTGTTACCGTTTTTCTCGTTCCTTGAGGAACACGGTCTGCCAGATGGAAGGGGCCAGGCACATGATGAGTCTGGCGGACAGAATGGCGATTTTGAGGTTGTAGATCTACAGTACGACGTGGAGTTCCGTCAGCTTTCCCAGTCACAACCATCATTGAGCACCATGTTGTAGGAGTGTTTGGACTGACGCGCTCAAGTACACCGATGCGAACATCCCTCTCAATATCAGCATAGACCTTATCCTGCCAGTGAATTGGGACAAGTGCTGGCTTGTGAATTGCCACCGGCCTCTCTTTGGGATCAACATGGAGTTGTAAGGGCTCACCCTTCATAAAAGGCAATGGTTGATGCTCACAGACATTGAAGGTTGTGGAACCATAATAGTCAAGAAGCCAATCTCTGAGAGCCCCTATGTTCTCTTCTGTGGCCCATAGTCCTGGGGGTAGCGTAGTCGGCATTGTTGGGGGTTCCGTTTGACGCCTGGGGCAAGAACAAGTTATCTCCTCAGAGTCCTCAACTGAGGCGGTGACATCCGTAGGCACATTGGGGAAGTCCGTGTGAATGACCCCGAGAGATTTGAGCGCCTCCCTGCAAAGGAAGGCCTTTTCCATAGTGTCAGATACATAGCAAAGTAAGCGTGTTGACCATGTAGAGTCAGTAATGTCTCATGTGGAAATGTTTACCACAACCGTTCCCAAAACACAAAGGTCTTCTTTTATAGCTCAATGCATGACAAGGTTAACAGGGAGAAGATCCTGTTTCGACATTCCCATAGTATAGGCAGATTCCAGGGGTATTATCGAACAATAACAACCTGTGTCAGCCACCATAGGTATTGTGACTGATTTCAGTTTTGACGTCTTCTGCATGGGGTGTCCAAAGGTGGTGTGATCTTCTGGCCATGGTGTCATGTTAACCGACAACATGGGATGGGGCCTGGAGGGGCGAGCTACCCACTGTCCCTCATACACATGATGTTCAAGTCTTGGGGCCTGCCTTCGAAGCCCGGGGCAAATGGTAGAAGTGTTCTGGGGGCAACTCTTTGCTATTGCTGTGCACAGTTGGTCATACACATAACCGGCTTTTTCCAAGTTTGTGTCCTTAGATGAAACTCCTGAAGCATGGCCTTTGGAAGATATCCTGCGACCCGTACCCTGAGGACAAGTTCTGGATGAGGCATAACGGTGACCCCAGTTACCACAGGTTGTGCACTTGCTGCATGATGTAGCGAAGTGTCCCTTCACTGAAGTGTCCCTTCACTTAGCGCACGTAAATGTTCACGCCTCACAATTTAGAGATCCGGCCCTGCGGTCATTCTTGAGTCCGTGAGCTGCACTACCGCATGCCCAGCATCTCGCTCCAGACAATGCAGGCGGCTTGGGGTTGGTATGAGTAGCACACATGGCACCTGTGGAATCTCCCACTGCACACGTTGTGCTTTACCCTGCTCCTTCTGTGCAATAAATGACACAGTTTCTTCCAGTGTCCGGTCTGTCTTTGGGTCACCTAGCAAGTCAGATAGAATTTCTGGGTCAGCAATACCCGGCACAAGATTGTCCTTTATGATCTCATCACTATAGTCAAATACATGAGTACATTGTGGCACTTTGCATGTGGTCCTATACATGAGGTCCTATACTGGCAGAGTGCAGCCTGGCCGCGGAGACTTGCCAAAAATGTCCAAATACCGATGCCAGGTGATTGTGTCATTCTGCTCAGCTTGATGCGATGAACGAGAGTACTTTCATCTTTAACAGCCAGTCTCTTAATAGCAGCCAGGAGATCAGCCTTAGCCATATTAGCTACATCACACCGAAGGTCACGTAGAACATCTGTCCGTAGATCAGTGTCACAACAGTAGACTAGCGCAGTGGGGAGAACAGTGTCCGTAATGGCCATTCCAACCTTATACATGTTCCACTGCCTGGTAAAATCTGACCATTGGTCTGGGTCACATCCAGCAGAAACAATTGGTGGGTCTAACTTGAGCTTTGGTGGTGTTGGATTTGCTGGGGTTCTATGGACGGTCCTGTCATGAATTTGAAGAGAAGCAGTGAGGGCAGCTGCAAATTCTGCTGCCAGGTCTTAAGACGTCCATATGCAGCCTGCGACAGGGCACTGTAACACTGGCATGATGTGATCCTAAGATGTCGCAAAAATGAGTGATGAACGATGGCTTGATGACAAGTCGATAACCCTAACCATGCCTGGCTGGGTGTCGGGGATGTATACATAGTAGTAGCAGTCATAAATGAGAATTAACATCTTCCTTTCTTTCGAATTCTTTAATCTAAAATAGAGACATATGTTTATAAATGCCTTTAAAACGGAGCCATTTGCTTATAAAGGCTTATTGAGGTGAGGCCGTGCACTCATAACGGCTTATTGAGGTGAGGCCGTGCACTCACAAAGGCTTATTGAGGTGAGGCCGTGCACTCATAAAGGCTTATTGAGGTGAGGCCGTGCACTTATAAAGGCTTATTGAGGTGAGGCCGTGCACTTATAAAGGCTTATTGAGGTAAGGCCGTGCACTTATAAAGGCTTATTGAGGCGAGGCCATGCACTTATAAAGGCTTATTGAGGTGAGGCCGTGCACTTATTATTGATTTTAAAATCGAGCCATGAGCTTATAATTCCTTTATAACTGAAGCCATATGCTTTTATTTACTATTGCTGTTGGACTACCCATAATTTGCGTCCTTAATTAGCTGTGTAAAGGACGTTAATCCATATACAATCAAACTTATAAGTTGCTTTTGAAATGAGGCAATTTCACCCAGCGTTATATAATCAAATACCAAACAATTCGCTTGCATAAAATAACATGTTAGGAAGAGTCTGGTAGATTTGGTTGTAGGTTTAGGTGGAAACATTTTCTTATATTAGAGGTGCATCGAGTGTTGCACAAATAGCTTTAAGGTCAGGCAGTTTGCAGATTAATGCTTTTGGGCTTTAGAGATGGAGCCATGTGATTTGTTAAGATTGGTGTTAAAGTGGATCTACCATTCAATAATTAATATTTAGGTAATCAACCTTCCTATAGTAACTTTTAATTTAAGGCTGATTCACCTCCGCGTCCTTAATTGAAACAACATCAATGTTATCCTCTCCTTATCATGATTGGTTTGTTTATGGTTTAACGCCCTAGCAACAGCTAGCTAAGGTCATTTAAGGACGTGTCTCAATGTGTATTATGTATGCGTGCATGTGTACTGGAGTCAGGGTATGTGATAGCGCGGATCTGATGCCGACTTTATAGTGCCATATTACTGAAATACCATGCCGAAGGTACCCAGCAAAGCATTCCGCCTGGTCATATTATACTGACAACGAGTGAACCAGTTACTGCCTTACCCTACCAGTTGTTGTTATTCCCCTATATACTGAACGTTTAGCAGGGAATAACAGCTACCAACTTGAAGGATTTTGATATGTTCCGGCCTAGGGACAAAATCTATTGATATCCTCACGTTGGCGAGCGTTCAAAAGTAAAGCCAAAAATGAAGTATTTCCAAGCAAGGCGCTCTGAAATAAAAGGTAGTGAGAAGGAAATTTTGGTTACTTTAGTCTTCCCAAACAGATGGCAAAAAAGCAAATCCCCAATCCAGTAAGGGATTCCCACATTAGTTGCCCCTTACAACATGCAGTGGGTAACAGCAGGTATAGTTTTTCTTAATCCCCGAACTGCAGGGGTGCCCTTTAAGGCAGGAACATAACATATAGAATGCATCAACTGCTACAATAGCATAATACAATAAAAATCTAAAAAAACGGGCTATCATGGAATAACCTCTCTCTAAATATATAAAGTTCCCTTTTGGAAAAACAAAGTCTGAAAAATGATGACAAATTGAAAATAATGTATTCCGACTATTATTCTTAATACAGATCCATACCTGATTCTGTCATGCGAAACACTGGTGCCGTTTTCTGTTGATTCCTTAATATAGTTCATAAGTGATTTGATTAGCATTCCCTCGTTATCGTAAAGTATCCCAATATTATGGACTGACGTAAATATTATGTGTACAACATAACGTTACCAGACAAACACCCGCGATACTCAGTATGATTAAGGTATCAATTACGCTGTTCAACAGTGTTTATGTAGATTCCGTTCTTGTGTTCAAGGATAGTACGAGGTATGTCAAACGAAAATTCGTACAACCACTGTTATAATTATCCCAGTACTTGTTCAAGTCTTCTTGGTATTACAACAACTGCATCAAACTTCCAGGTCGAAAGTTTGGGTTTTGTATAAATTAAAAAATAGGCACATACTAAGTGAAGGAGAAGGATTACATACTTTTTATGATTTTTTTTAATCCCCTTCTTTATAGAATACAAATATATAAAAAAAAAATATCATCGAGTGAAATTTTGTATTATGAATATCCACCCTTATAATTTGGCAGTTGGTAACTTTTAATATTTGTCAATTTAAAGTGAACATATTTATATGGTTTGTTTATTCTCAATCATTAGATTGATTTTCCTATAGAAGAATCATCGGTCGCGTATTTAATGTTACTTGTTGGTCGATTACCCTAATTCACAACTGTATATACTGATAACATGGTATCTAGTGTTTGGTTTGCAACGTCCTCGCCTCAGCCAGGGTCACATGAAGACGGGTGCCTAGAACAGAAAGAAGACAGAAGAGAAAGAAGACAGGAAAGATAAGCAATGAAAAAGATCCCAAGTGTTACAGTGGAGACAGCAGATCAATATGGGTCCCATTGAATGCTGCTCAATTAGCATAGTTACAATATAATGAACTTTGAGGTGCACAATAGCACAGGGTAATTATTTAAAAAACCATGATTATGACGCCATTATTTCAACGACGTAGCGAACACTAAACATAAATACGATCTCTTCATTTTACGAACACAATATTAAAATAAATATATTATATTTGAGCCTTGGTAATCAAGAAAATAATTTTTCCATTTGTCATGAGAGTGACAGATTGGCGTCTTTTGGACAGTTTCTTCCTTGAATTTACCTATAGATATAATCCCACCGCTGCCACCAAAACGTCTTTCTAGGCTGCCCTCGAACTTAAGTAATATCATTAACATGTTCGTGACAAGTGATCACAGATCGTCATCAAAAAACCACTCAGCCCCTATATAAAGCCAATACATATTACAGCAACAATAAAATTGTTAGTAACTCTCATTCTGTTTACTGCGTGAAGAAATTGTTTTCTCTTACAGTATGATATTAGATAAGATTAGATTATTTCTAAATAATCACTTTAATGATAAGGTAAACGGATGAACAATCATTTTTCGAGTAATTAGACAAAGAAATATAAATAATCTTCTTCTTTTAATGTCGTTAAGCGGGTTACACTCATCATATCACGATTTCAATAATAACGCCGACGAAATAACAACATATTTTTGTGGCAACTCGGTTTAGAGATTATTATTTAATAACACATTCTATGATGCGAAATTAAAATTTAAAAAAACCTCACAACTATGGCATCATTACCTTGACAAACTTGATTTCAAATGTTTCTCTACTGCAAACAAACTCAAGTTATTAACTTAAGGATGGCTTTTAATATAATTCTTATATTAGATTACAAGAGTGACTGAGAAACCAAATACAATACCCATTTATGTAAATGGGTAAATTGTGTAAAATGATCAAAACATCTATTTCTAAAAAACAAGATTGAAAATTCAAATAAAAAACTATTTAATTTATATATCGGAGGACAATCAGCTCTTTTATAAGGACTTAATATAACTGACCATATACAGATATCGTTTTGCCATGAAAAATGCAAACTGGTTAAAGTATATATTTCTCTATTGCAATAATATAACAACAAAATATCTAACATAACAATAAAAGGGAAATAACTCCTGTTAGATTACCGAAGTTATGTTGTCGTTGTGGTAAATGGAACAAGGAAGCTGATATGCGAAGTTTTATTATGTATCTGATTAGGTTGTTCTTCTATATTTCTATATCAGGTGGTGTGGCAGTAAAATGGCGCTGTAACACCAATTTTACTTACAGCAATATTCGGTGTTCTACCGCCAGAGGTTTAGTATAATGCAAAAGACATAAACAATGTGCTACCAGAAATTGCATCTATTAAATGCATAAAATGATATAGATTTGTAAGAAAGAAAAAAGATTTCATTTACATGGAAGCAGCACGAAGGAGCAAATTTAACGTATTATATATAGCCGTAATAAGTTTGGCAGGCGCTTGCTTAATGACAGATAAATGAAAAAAAAAGATTTTGTTTAAGGTAGTCTCAATTGAATCACACTACTGAATAAACCATTGCAAAAGGTAGGCCAAAACAGCTTTGTCCTCTCCCTGCATTGAGTTGTGATGTACTATATTCTAGAGTTTGGCAGCCGAAGCTCATCCTTAACCAAGTAATTTTCACTGGGTAACAAAATGAATGGTTGGAATTTCTCCTCTTAATTAGCTAATAAAGTAGGTTCCCACCGCTGTCACCATTCAAACTGAACTAGTTTGTCAACTCCCTTCGGACTTATGTAATGACTGTAAGGATCAATCACAGTTCGCCATATTTATCATTTTACCCAACGCCTTGATAAAACCCATATATATAATTCTGGTATAACAATAACGTTTGTATTTACTCAGCAATTTAATTATGATTATTAATCTAAATGACAGTGAAAAGTGAATGAACGCGCTCTCACCGAATTCGTTAATTAGAAAACGTAGAAATATAAGTGTTCATGTTCACAGGATTCAAAGGGTTACACTCAGATATATCAATAATAACAACAACTCCAAATAAATTACAAAATACTGCGAAGATATCATCTGATAATACCTTCTTTAGCGGGAAAGTTAACTAGAGTTCAAACGGAAGTCAATAACATGAATTATTTAACAAAGAATAAGTTTTTGTTTCTCTAAAAGTAGAACACTGACCTAAAGTTTTGAGACTGTTTATTTGTTGAACACAAGCACGACTCGCGGATAAGATAATTTGGACACATTTTTCCTAATATAACAGCATAATTATAATACTCTTAAAGCTGCAAAGATCACAACAGTGTCTGGGTAACCTAATATTAACTAATGGGAATTGATCAGGACATCAATTTCTTAATAACGAGATTATTACCAAAAAACTTGTACTTAATATAGTACACTCGACTCCTGCTGAACTACTATAGATAATTAAAATTATTCAACGGAGATAACTTCCATAAGCTTAACTCAGGAAGTAACTCAGACTGAGGAATATTGTGAACAAGCTGTAATGACATTAGATATTAGGTGATGCGGTGTTCTACCGTCAGAACTTCAGTTAAAGATAGAAAAACGTAACCGGTAACTAATAATTCTAGTTCATGAAAACATGTTATAACAATATGTTGTGTTTAAATCATATCCCTGCAGATACAAGATAGAGAAAATTTAGTGTCCTCTACGGAACAAAACCAAAATTACTAAACTAAAACCAGCTACATATGGGGTCGATGTGTTTTCTCTCCTTTGGTTTCCTAACCCCATGCTTTTTGTGTTGAACGTACGTCAGAGTGGAGAAGACAATAGCTTCTTGACCTGAGCCGGGCAATGCCAAAGTTCTAAATAGTAGTTGTTATTCACTGTAAGATGCTCAGCATGTTTTGGTTGAAATGCACATTTTTGATGTTTATTTTTGATAAACTCTGTACTTCTCACGGCGGACGTTTCACGCATGTTTCGCTGTTATGGAACCCTTGTTGGTTCTGGGACATAAAAGACCCGCTGTTTCCAACTACATGAATGCAAGAGGCAACTAATATGAACCACATGTAAGTCTTCAGTGTAGAGGACAACAAAGAAAAGACTGTATCCAACTGCAGGTGTCTTTTAAAGGGCGATGTCTCCTTCATCCTCGTTATCCAGGGATTACGCTCACTTTAGCTCTCTACACCCCTGGAATATGTCATAAAGAAATTGAAGGCTCATTCTGCGCCACCTTTTTGATGAAACAAGAAGACTACTTCGACCCTTTGATATACATCAATAGAATCTCGTGGTCACGTAACGGTAAAAATGACAGGCTTTGACGTCGGGCGTCTTCCAAGGACAGGTATCGGCCTAGCGATTGGTCAGGGGTTTTTACCTGAGACCAATCAAACAGCTATCTTCTTGCCTTCCTATTTGCTATGACATATTCCAGGGGTGTAGAGAGCGAAAGTGAGCGTAACTTCTGGATATCGAGGATGTGTCTTCCAACGCACCCGTTCTCATATGATCCTGGCTGTTGTGTCTCCCTACGTATCCGTCATCATGTAACCCTGGCTGTTGTGTACCCCAAGGCACCCGTACTCATATGATCCTGGCTGCTGTGTCTCACAAGGCACCCGTTCTCAAATTATCCCGGCTATGGTGTCTCCATAGATATCCGTTCTCAAATGATCCCGGCTGTTGTGTTTCCATAGACACCTGTTCTCAAATGATCCTGGCTAGTGTATATCCATAGACATCCATTCTAAAATTATCCTGGCTGTTGTGTCTCCCTAGACACCCATTCTCAAATGATCCTGGCTGTTGTGTCTCCCTATACATCCGTTCTCAAATGATCCCGGCTGTTGTGTCTCCCGAGACATCCGTTCTCAAATGATCCTTGCTGTTGTGTTTCCATAGACGACGGTTCTCAAATGATTCTGGCTGTTGTGTCTCCGAGATATCTGCTCGCAAATGATCCCGGCTGTTGTGTTTCCATAGACACCCGTTCTCAAATGATCCTGGCTACTGTGTCAACAATAACCAGACAGCACAGATCGTAGCTGACACCTTCAGGTTACCGTACACTGGATATAACCCTGTCTGTATGTGGAATAAGTCTACATGCGCCATGGATATACAGAGGAACTGGAAACACGCAAGGTTAGTGTACTTATCATATGAGTTTGAGTTTATCCTGAAGAATATCATTTGAATTGCGACTGACATTACCTGGTACAGAAAATGCGGAATTGAATATATGAACGACGTGAATTGACCCAACGACACACAGCCTGACCATACACTAATGATTTCCCGAAATGATTTTGTTTGCAATCATATGAATGGATAACGATTTATTTTCAACTTCCCGCAACCTTCCTATATGGCTTGACGTTCGTCTATTAATCTAGACACTGTATGACATCTTCGTGGCTTCTTAACTCACACTGGTCGCTGTGTCGGTACATTGATATGTGCACGTTCAGTGTCATGCTTTACATACACACAGTTTGGGATCACAGCAGCAGAACTATCCATGATTCAGAAATAATCTTTAGTAAACATCTCCGACAAATGTTACATATTTTTTCAGTAGGGGTCTCTCTTGTGTATGTATAGTGCATTTACCAGACAGATCGATATGTATTAATCATTTTGGCAACACGCCAACCTATATTGTCCACGACGCAGACCTTTAAATAGCTCGGGTACTCGATAGAATTATCATACGGAAACGCAGTAGTGATTTGCGTTATAATCGAATGAAACTAAACTACTATATACATGTATCCTGGTAATTTGCTAACTGTGGACGTAGTATTGGTATTGAAATTAGGCTTGTAATTCAACTCGTCTACGATACACTCTAATACAAGTATTAGATGGGTGCGTAGATGAGCGGAATTACAAGTCTCATTAGATTGGTAAGCATTTTACTTTTTCTCTCTCAAATATTTCATTCCCCCAGCCATTTTTTTCATAAATATGTATATACATATACTGCTTCCAAGCACAGATATATATGTAGATATATTAATATTTTGATAGGGGCTGCCAGGGTTGGGAGCCCTGGAGTCAGCCCATCAGCAATATGGTGTCCTCACTACTTTTTATTACGAGACAAAAATGGTGGATTAAATGTATGCACCTGTGTAGTTTCGGAAAATATAAATCTAGTAAAACTTTTCTCTCAAAACCACTCTATGACCTGTGTAGAAGATAGTAAATATATTTGGTTACCCATTCTTCCTAATGTCTCCCTCGACAATGCCACACTTTTGGCCTTTATTTGAGCGTTCGCCCCTGTGAGGAAGGCTTTGGGTTCTGTCCCCTAGCCGAGACATACCAGAGTCTGTACAAATGGTAGTTTCTACTCCTGCTTGACGCTCAGCAATTTAGGAGTGGGACGACTGGTTCGCCCGTTGTCAGTATAATGTGACCGGGTGGGTTGCCCTGCTTGGTGTCTTCGGCAGTATGTTTCAGTGAGGTAGCACTATAAAGATTACATCAGTTCCACGTTATCACAAGGAGACAAACACGAACATATCGCAGCCTCCCAAAACTCACACACATACACTACACAGGGGAGGCCGTCCTTAAATGACCATAGCTGTTGATAGGACGTTAAACAATACTAAACCAAACCAAACCCACTAGTGGGTTAACCCTGGATGTGATTTCGTTGGTTAATCTTTTAATTATGACGTCATGTAATTCTTCGCAACGTCATCTTCCAATGTGAAGTCATGATTCGTGACAATTGTTTCCTTGATCGGAAAAAGACATAATTTATATTCCAAGTGAAACATGCTCTTTTTAGATATGATACGAACGTTATGGGAGAAAAAGGTTCCAAACTCGTGACGGCTGGTTTAAATGTTTACTTAAAATAGATTTTTGTAATTTACTAACTCAAGCGAGATAAACATGCTAATTTGTATATACCAAACCAACCGACTGAAGAGAAATAACAAGAAAAAATGATGATACTGTTTTTACATGCAGCAAAATCGAGTCCCTTCTTTAGGAAAATAATTATATCAACTGTACAATGTTCATTTTATACTGTATAGATGATGTATTATTATAATGTTTAAATACATTTATCTCCCTTTTTGTAGGGAAACACGATTCTTTGTTTCCCGGGATTATTCATGTTCACGAGGGCGATGCCCGTATAAACATGATTTATCGAGGAGAAACAGCAAATCGTGTTTATCTTTCACAAGGAAAATAAATATTTCATCATGCCCAAAAAATAACCAATAACGCGCCATTACAGTCATTATTGCCCCGTCACGTGACCAGTATCATCCAATCAGACACGCTGTTATAAAGATGATGTATAATCATACTAATCATAGTCTTATGGTTGTATTGTAGCTGGTAAGGAGATGTCGTCCAATCACCACACGAAACAGTCCCCCAGCCATCTCGACGAATGTCCAACATGTCGTCGGCGCGCTGCCCGAATGGAACAGTCAGTCGTCAAACAGGTACCGAAGAGAAGACCAACCACAAAGAAACCCAATCCAGTAAAACTTAAAAAGACAACATTTACTTCAAAACCGGTCGGTGAATTTCCTTCACTGAAAAGTGGCTTCATAATTTCTCACATCCATGCGTTGTCGAAGGATCATGCGTATGTTTGGCACTACAGCGAGAAGAATATACTGGTGGTAAATACTACTGGCGGGGTAGAACAGACGCTTAAACTTGACACAAACAGTGCCGTTATAGATATAGGAGTGTCGCCACGAAGTGGGAATATATGGTACGCATGTGGTGATGGAGCCGTGGTTGAGATGATGAAAAACAAGACGTGTTTGACAAGATTTAATCTCGGATTCGAACCTCGATGCTTGTGTTTGTCATCCAAAAACCAAGTTTTGGTGGGACTCGAGTGTAACATGTTAGTCTTATCTATAGGTGGACATATCGTTACGGATCTACAGAAGATAAATCCTGACGTTGATCTGGTCGAGTTTTGTCCCAGTAAAATAGCTCAATGTCCATACACAGACTTCTTTTGCGCGTGCGATTTCTTCCATCACTATTTCGTTTTGCTGGATCCGTCACTCAAAATTATTTGGTGGTTCCGTGGAAGTACCGTCACAGACGCGAGAGGTGTTGTCAAGGACACCGGGTATTCAAGTCCAGATCTGTTTTGGCCCCACACTGCTGCGTTTGAAAAGGATGGAACAATAATAGTCGGAAACAAGGATGACAACAACGCCCTAATAGCAATAGGGCGAGACGGTCACGTGTTACAGGTGATATCAAGAGAGGAGGACGAGCCGTACGCACTGTGTCTACACAAAGACGGAAACTTGTGGGTGGGACTGGACACACGTCTGGTCAAAGTTTACCAGTTGTCAGGGAAACAGGTCACACTGCGTCAACCGCTTACGCTTTAAGTCAAACTACGAAGTATGGAAGACGGTGTCAATACAATAGAACAAAAGTGCAGTTCAAGGTCGATACAAGGTAAAATAAGATGAAACGAATTTTCTGTGACGTGATCTGTGCAGAGTCTGCTCTCAAACGACAGGTAAAATTTATAGTGACTATCAAGAACATCAAAACAGTTATTCTCATCCTTCACATCGGACTTTATATGTGTCTACCTTGAACCTACATGTGAGGTTAGCGCAGTCACCATATACGTCTATGTCGATACGTAGCTGTTATAATACTCCAGTCTTTGGATGCAGTTTAAATTAAAGACTGGATCAGGACATAAATAGAAAAAATTCGGATTTACTTTCGTGTTAGTCAGGTTTCTGTTATTATATTGATCAACAAATTTATCACATCAAATTATAAACAAACATACAAACAAACAGCCTGCATTCAATAATACCATCCTCGGTATCCAGGGGTTACAATCACTCCATCCTCGATATCCAGGGTTACGATCACTCCATCCTCGATATCCAGTGTAATGTATGTTAGTTATTATGGTTCCGGAGATCCCGGACCGGGCTCCGTTTTGTGTGTTACACGTATGTGCTGCTCTTCCGATTCCGCCATTGTGTGTGTTCCTCTTTACTGGCGTGGTGGCAGTCTGCTCTACGAACTTTCGCCTTCATAAGACCTATACAATGTCAACAAGACCACATAACGCCGTATAAAACGGTACGGAGCCGTGAATTATCGTCTTTAATCAGTATTTATAATATGTTTTACGGCATGGCCGTTAGTGAGGGCGGAGCCAGGTTGTACTGTAAATGTATCGGAATATCGGTACTGTACTCTTTCAAGCATTGAGTGATGTGTTAAATTACTAAATCAGACCTACGTGTATAGCTATACAGTGTATATTACAGATAAGTTTCCTTTCTTGATTTCTTTTTGGCTGACAAGATGTTTGATATCTTGAAGTTTTCCGCCTAGGCGTATGATGACATGACATTAATGTGAGAATATGCGAAAGGTTCATTAGACTATATAAGTATTTAAATTTGCACCTCTTGAATCCATTGCAAGAATCAAGTGCAGCATATTCTACAAAGACATTGTTATAAAACATATTAGGATGGATATTGTTAATCATGTATAATAGCATAGTTATCTGATATCCACGAAAAAATATACATATATATATGTATATATCTTTACGAATAAGCCCTTTGGATTACTTCAAACTTAACTTCAATGATTTATAAATATTGTATCCAGAGAGAACTTATGCATAGTATTTTACAATTTTTATGCTTTTTATGTCTAAAAATTAATTTGTTCAATGCTATAAAAACTGGATTTATATGAAGTTTATTAAAAATAAGAAGAATATGCGAAATCACATTTTTTTGTTATTTTTCAATACCCATCTTTGCAGCCAAGAGAGTCAATAGATCTATATATCTTATATATATATTGTGGATGAATACATTTGTTTCAGCAATTTACTGACTATATGCTTTATATGTCTCTGCTTTATGTATAGTTTTAGCAATAGAGAAAATGTATTGTTTCCTCAATTAGAAATTGAATCAGTTCAGCACAATAAACTGGATAGATTTTTTTTTAAATCGTGCAGATTTGTAAAACAGCAGATTTTCTTTTATGAATAAAAAAAGCTGTGAGATAGTAATCAAAAATGAAAATGTTACAGTATGGATTCAATTTTTTTCTTCTATTTTCTTCGTGCAAAATATCAATTAAAATATTCTGATGAAAATATTTGTATGTTTTTTTTATCCTATCATTTTGCGTCACTGTGAGAAACTCCCTTTTTGTTGACAACCACGTTGTTTTGTTGATATTCCGTTTTCTAAGTATACACCACTGCAATCTCTACCCAGAGTTGTCGTAGGGAGTGCAAGGACCGTAACTCTTTGTGGTAGTCTCGTTCAACCAGACTCTTGTTGTCTGCGCAAGCGTCTGATTGACCGAGACTACACTGCTGATACAATAATTTTTTCGACCCCAGAGAACTAGAGCAATGTAGCCGGTAACGTTATGTCAAGAGAGTTTACATCTTTAACCGGAAAGTATCAAATATTTAAGTATCCTATAGTTAGATATAAGTTTTAAATCTTACAAAAATGTAACGTTTGTTCGAGATTCGGCAAGCGAGAACTTGTTTCGAGATCAAGATGGCGGAGACTACAGCGCGTGCGACCGGCGGCCATGTTAAGACAAGTTTTTCAGTTCCATAGGTATTGTGAATATTCTTTATTTTTCTTACATACGTGTTACCTATAGGGATAGCTTCGCTCTCACGGGCCCCTCGGGCCCGTGAGAGAGCTCCGCCCTCTATAAACTTTGGTTGTAAACACTTGACAACTTTCGAAGATGGCAACACCACGTGCGACATAACAATGGTGTTTGACGAAAAATTGAAACTGTAAACTCATTTGACAATTGGCGACAGAATTTAGTGTACACATTGTCACTGTACAATAACTTTAATGAGGTATTGGGTGAGCGATTCTCGTGGTTAAAAAAACCAAGAAATGACGAATTTAGGGGCATGGTAGCTGACGATGCCCCTGTTCCGGAGGCTCGCCGTAAAACTCAAGCGCAGAAACTGGCGCTATTGGAGTTAGTGCTAGGGCAGATCGCCAATTTCTGTCCAGTGATAGCGCGCAACACGATCGTTAAAACCTGCACCTCAGTTAGCCAAATCTGGCAGACCATACGTCAACATTATGGGTTCCAGTCAACTGGAGCACATCTGATCGATTTTGCGGCCATTAAGTTGGAGGCGGGCGAACGTCCGGAGGACCTCTACCAACGATTAGTAGCCTTCGTGGAAGACAACCTCCTCACACAAGACTCTGGCATTATACATCATGGTGTCTAAATCACAGAAGATGAAGAACTATCGCCCTCTTTAGAAAATTATGTCGTATTGCCGTGGCTACAATTAATAAATTCAGACCTACCAAAACTCATCAAGCAAAGGTATGGTACAGAACTGCGGTCACGTACACTCGCGTCCGTTAAGCCGGAGGTATCACAAGCACTCGATTCGCTGTTGGAGGAGGTCCAATCGTCCGAGGATGCCCGCTCAATGAGAGCCGCCGTGTCTGGTCTGTCGCGAGGTACATTGCCGCATACACCACATGCTCATATCGCGTCGCGAGATCAGCGAGATCAGCGGTCCAGACCCCAGAAGTCTTGTCCGTTGTGCAAGGAAGCGGGAAGGCCTAACAATCACTTCCTTAGTAAATGTAGCTTCCTTCCCACACAAGAAAAAAATAAATTCGCAAGAGCTCGACAAGTGTCAGAGGAATTGGAGAGATATGCTGACAATATGGCTGATCCAGAAGGAGATGAGGTATTACAGACAGAAACTCTTAACAACCCCGTACGAGGACGTGTTTCAATGTCATATGCCCTTACGCCTGCGGTAAGATTGGGTGTCAAAATTGCCCACAGCAAACAATCTGCTCACCAAGCCGATGGGTCATCGCCTTTGAACGTCTTAGGCGAAACACGTATGGTGGTGTCCCGTGACAACCACGACTTATATTTTGAAGGACTTGTCGTGGAAAATCTAGACACTGATGTTCTTGCCGGGATCCCTTTCATGGAACGCAACGATATATCCATACGTCCAGCAAAACGCCAAGTATTACTCGGGGATCATACTCTGTATGAGAACGGATCCACAGAGACTACTATGGACAGACATTAAGTGAGGAGGGCCCATGTTCTACGTGCCCCTGCCCTCACCACACTGTGGCCAGGATATTATATTGAAGTAGCCCTGCCAGCTGACCTCGCCACATCAGATGGTGAGATTAGCATAGAACCACACGACTCATCGCCTCTCACTGCTCCCTCAGTCCTCACTAGTGTTGCAGGGAAAATCAGGATACCAAATCTCACTGGAGAACCACAGACCTTGAAACGAAATGAACATTTCTGTAAAGTAAGAGCCACGACTTACCCAGAGGATATCACAGTTACCCCTACCACGCACACTGAACCCCATAAGGCCAAAACTACCAACCTGTCTCACTACAGTGATAGGGCAACCTTGACCCCGATGGACTCATGCCGACCAATATCAAGTCTGAGTTCCAGAGTCTACTATCAGAGTTTGACGAAGTGTTCAACCCAGAATTCACAGGTTACAATGGCGCTGTAGGTCCCTTCAAAGCCAAGGTTAACATGGGTCCAGTTCAACCCCCTCAGCGCAAAGGTCGCTTACCTCAATATTCGAGGAACCAACTTTCAGAGCTCCAAGTCTGTAGGTGTGTTTCGTCGACCAGAGGACATTGGCATATCTGTCGAATACGTAAACCCATCATTCCTTGTCAAAAAGCCTAACGGAGGTTTTCGACTAGTCACAGCATTTGCTGACGTAGGGCGATACAGTAAGCCCCAGCCATTACTGATGCCTGATGTAGACTCAACCCTCCGTCAAGTCGCCCAGTGGAAGTATCTGATTGCCACTGACCTCACAAAGGCTTTTTATCAGATTCCCCTTGCTAAGGAATCCATGAAGTACTGCGGTGTTGTAAGCCCCTTCAAAGGCACCCGGGTGTATGCCCGTACCGCGATGGGTATGCCAGGCTCAGAAACTGCGCTAGAGGAATTAACTTGCCGTGTCCTCGGTGACCTGGTAGAAGCTGGATGCATAGCGAAACTTGCCGACGACTTGTACTGCGGTGGCCAGACTTTTGAAGAACTACTACAAAACTTTAAATCCGTCCTTCAGGCCTTACAGAAATGTAGCTTGAACCTCTCCGCTCCAAAGACAGTTATATCCCCAAAGGAAACTATCATACNAAGCTGGATGCATAGCGAAACTTGCCGACGACTTGTACTGCGGTGGATAGACTTTTGAAGAACTACTACAAAACTTTAAATCCGTCCTTCAGGCCTTACAGAAATGTAGCTTGAACCTCTCCGCTCCAAAGACAGTTATCTCCCCAAAGGAAACTACCATACTGGGGTGGATATGGCGACTAGGTACAATCAGCGCTAGAGGAATTAACGACTGAATTAACCCCACCCCCCCACCCCCCAACACCGTTTACGGTTTACGTGCGTTCATCAGAGCATACAAAGTACTTGCGAGAGTCATGCAAGGCTGTTCATCACTCCTCTCTCCGCTTGATAGTGTTGTCGCAGGTGGTCGAGAGTCAAAGGAGACCATCCAATGGACCGACGAACTCCTCCGTGACTTTACAAGTGCCCAGAAGGCGTTATCTTCTAACCGCACCATCACTCTCCCCACGTCTACTGACCAACTATGGATAGTTACAGACGGTGCAGTCAGAGACCCATGACTAGGAGCAACGCTGTACGTCACTCGTAACAACAAAGTCTGTCTTGGAGGCTATTTCAGTGCCAAACTGCGTAAGAACCAGACCAATTG